GTGGTTGGTGGTGGGTGACTGATGGTGAATTCTGACTTCCTCTCTCGGACAAAACGCGATAGACATTTCGATGAGACTAATATAAGTGATACAATAGCTGGAAACTGTAGAGGAAAAAAAGGAGAGAGAGAGAAAAGATAGAAGGGAAGGGAGAGAGCAAAGATCTTAAGTGTGCCGCGTGGTGTATCGTGGTAGGGACGCGACCCCCTCCCCCGTCTCGGGACTATCCCTGATCCCTCGGGAGATTCCCCGTCGTGTACGATGCTCCGTTGGGGAAGACAAGGCGAACTCTAATTCTTTCGGAAGCGTGAGAGTGGATTAGAGAGTATTCGAGTATACGGTGTGTATTCTCCGAGCCACGTTTCGGAGCTAAGATGAAAGATGCTCGACCGCGACGTCCCAACGGGACGATGACGTCCGCGTCGGTTCGCGTCTGACAGATCCGCGCCACGAGGCCACGAGGCGCGCGGATAAAGCACTCTCACACTCCCCGCGTCATTTCGCGCGCGGCATCTGGAGATTTTACGTGTGGCTGTGCATGTGTGTTTTGCAGACGCGGCCTCGTTGCTGATCAGATCAAGGTGACCGTTGAAGCTCCGAGACGAGACACGCCACGAGAAAAAGACTGGAGGAAGAAACGAAGAAACGAAAGAAGAAGAGCAGTGAGGAAGAAAGTTTAAGAGGAAAGAATCGAGTGGTGAAATAAAAAAGGAAGAAATTCTCCTCTCTAAGAAACGCAAGAGAAGCGAGAAGTCGTATCATGACGCAACAAAGCGGCGCTGGGTCACCCCAGCAGTTCTGTCTGCGCTGGAACAATTATCAGACTAATCTGACCAATGTCTTCGACCAACTCCTACAGAGTGAGAGCTTCGTAGACGTCACCCTGGCCTGCGACGGGCATAGCGTGAAGGCCCACAAGATGGTCCTGTCGGCCTGCAGCCCGTACTTCCAGGCACTCTTCTTCGACAACCCCTGTCAGCATCCAATCGTCATCATGAAGGACATCAAGTGGCCGGAGCTCAAGGCCGCGGTCGAGTTCATGTACAAGGGCGAGATCAACGTCTCCCAAGAGCAGATTGGGCCGTTGCTCAAAGTCGCGGAGAGTCTCAAGATCCGAGGCCTCGCGGACGTTAATAGCGAACAGGAGTTGACATCCAGGCCTAGCCTGGAGGAGGCCGCGAACGCGGCAATGCAGCGGAAGAAGCGCCGCCGGATGTCCGGCGATCGTTCACCGTCCGCCAACAGTCCGGAACGCGTTGGCTCCGCTAGCATCGGCCCCGACGACCAGGACGTGATCGGGGGTAACGTCGTCGTGCCTGAGATTCACAGCATGGTGCCGTCGACTGCCAGCTCGACTCCTCGGTCCCTCGGCTCGCCCAGCACGCCCAGCATCTCCGTCACGCCGCAGATCAACCTGCAGGAACTTCCGGTCTCGCTGCCCTTACCGCCACCCCCGCCACCACCGCCGCAGGGACAGCAGAGCTCGCACCCCCTGCCGACCCACCACGTGCCCGGCCACGTGACTTCCGGTCCGCACGCGCCCGTCAACCACCTGGGCGGCCATGGCCAGCAGCTCAGCGTGCAGCAGCAGCAACAGCAACAGCAGCAACAACAGCAGCAACAGCAGCATCATCAGCAGAACGTCGGCAGTCAGTCCAGCACAGGCGATGACCTCGAGATCAAGCCCGGCATCGCGGAGATGATTCGGGAGGAGGAAAGGGTGAGTCGAGACCTTTTTACTCCTGTATTCCTTTTTCTTTATTTACAACGAGAGGAAAGATTTACGCCTCAAAGTTAAGTGTCGGTAATGCAAATAAATAGATTAGCTTCTTCGCGAAAATTGTCAGGGAAATAGCCTTGGCATACGGAGCGACGTGCTAATATTATTAGTAAAAAAGTGACTTTCCGTGATTCGCGCGAAATTCAGCTAAGTCAAATCTGCGTTAAATATTGAAAGATTTGAACGCAACGATCTTTGTTCTAAACGCGAAAAAGTTCTCTGCATAACTATTACATCATAGCATCGTGCGCATGTTTGAAAATTGTTGCTAAATGTATGTTTTTTTATCGCAGCAAGAGTGATATTATTTCTTGCGATTAATTCTTTTTCCCGGGACGGACATCTGTCTTTGCACGCGTCGGTGCTAATATGTAATTTTCGATGCAAATTGTACAATAAGAATTCCGTAATTGCATGGAGTGTTGTAATTAGAAGATTTTTATGCTTATGATAACATCGAACCACTCAGATATGTATTCCGATGCGCTGTATGTAGCTTTCCTGTTTTTAGCGATGGCAGAATATTACTTCTCTTCTTGCCGAAGATAAATTAGTAGAAATAATATGCGGGAAACACACAAAAAAATCGTCAGAATTATACTTGCTGTTAACGAGAATAGAATAAAAACAATATTTCCGTCAGAAGTAGCGTTAGATCTTCGCGATTCAAGAAATGCACAGTTAAAAAAAGTTGATTAGGTTGATTGTTCTTGGATATAAATGTTGAAGATGGTGCAACTTATACATATAGATTAGAAATTTATAAAATATGCATTTTTCAATTTGAATTACGGTTAGCGTAATTAAGCTTACATTACAAACGTTAATTTTATTATCGATACGTTAAATAAACGGGCAAATAATTTTCTCCGCGCCGTAACTAAGAAACTCGCGCGCGCATACATTTAAACTTGCTCCAATATTGGATAAAATAAATATGAGCGAAGAGAAATATTTCAATATTTGCCTAACATTTAGAAATAATTCGACAACAGGAGGGTCAATTAAAAGTTTCCTCCGCCGATCAGAGAGACGTGCCGCTGCGAATTGAAATAAGAAACGACGGCGTTTCTCTTCCCTCCAAGTCAACTCCCTTGCGAACTTCCCTCGATCGACGAACTTTGGCGCTCCGGGACGGTTAACCCGAAATCGTGCGAACGCAATTTTCCCAGTGAGAGAGAACGAAGATGTTTCCCTATCCGTGGCACGGCCGCAACCTCGGCCGGTCACTCATTAACGAGAGCGCGGTGCGGTTCGCGTTCCGCGCGCGCCTCACGTCATTAGGGCACGCGTTCGTCCTAGTCAAGGCAAACGACCGACCCAACAGGCGATCTCGAGAAAGCCCAAGTCGGGAGGCTCTCCTATCCGCGGTGCGGTCCCGTATAATTGGCCGCGCTTTCGTGCGGCGGTACGGAAA